AAGGGGGAACTGTGGGGAGCAACTCAGACTAGACTAAGTTACTGGAATTAAGACTTATTCTATGCATCTGCTCTCCCACAATATGGCACTGAAAGGGAGTAAACAACTTCTACACAGCTGCCTCTCACCAGTTTGACTGATGAGCTGCAGGAGCTGATCCTGCTCCTGATTGGAGGAGAGCAGCATGCTCGGCGTGTGGGTAGCAGAGTTGGGATTGGTAGAAGAGGACTATAAAGGAGGAGAGAAACAACATGCACCAGGAACATCCGGATAACATCTGAGCAGCCCCCGAGAGAGCCGGCCGGTGGTGTGCCGCTCCCCCGCGGAAGTGGGGAAAGTGGCAGGGGGAGCCGCCCCTCCACGGAGGTGGAGGGATCAGCAGCCAACCCGGGAAGGACCAGCAGCAAACCCGGGAAGGGCCGAGCAGATAAAAGAACAGCGCAGGGTCCTGTGTCGTTCCTCCGCGAATGGGTAGTGACACCTAGGACTTACCTAACATGAGTCCACTCTCCAAATATGTGCTCAAGAATGATAAAAATGAGTTTCTATCTAAAATTATCTAGTGATTAAGACTTTAGAATTCAGGTTTATTCTCCTACCATCTTTAGGAAAGTTGACAAACCAAGCTACAATAAAATCAATATGACTGCAAGAATTAATGTTGGGATTTTCACTGCCAAACATTAAGCAGCCATGGAATTTTGCATCCCCCATGTGCCTTGTGAGTATTTAAGGACTAAAACTACATAAAAATCCATGAAACTATGACAGATTTTAATATTAGGGTAGCTATGTTAATCATGTGGTCATAAAGTCTCACTATATATTTGTATAATTTAGTTACGAAAGTATTACCTGTTCTTGCCTTAACCTCTGAAGATCTCACTGTGGTTTCCTCAGAGACTGAAACAGACAGAGACTCAATCCTCTGTGGGCTAGAAGGATAGAAAGCCGTTGGGCTCTTCGTGTGTCTATAGAAACCACACAAAGAAGACCTGTTTTCTCACATACTCCACAAAGCTCATGGCAATTGTGATGATGCCCTGTGGAGGCACTAAGTGAATAAAGCCTTCCCCACTCAGAGGCAACCTGAAGACCCAACATCGTTCCTTGGCAGTTCTCAGATAAGCAGCAAGACTCAAGCACCAACAGTGAATCCAGCCATCCTGTAGAAGCAGTCACTTTTCTGCATGAAGATTACTGAGGTCCTTGGACAGTCATCTCTAGGCATCTAGATTTCCTGATCAGCTCTCTGAATATCTAACATTTTCAGTGCTTGTTAGCTTTCCTGCCACACTTGAATATCATGCAAAAATGTCTTTTACTCTCTGAATGCTCAAATACTTCTCATTGATAATTTTAAATAGTGGTATAATCTGAAGGAAATATATTAATGCTAATCTGCACATTATGAATCAATATATTAAATTAATCAGTATATAAATGTTTTTAACTGATAGCTTTTTTTTTAGATTTGTATTTGTTTGAAAGGCAGAGTTACAGAGAGGCACAGGCAGAGACAGAGACAGAGAAAGAGAGAGAGAGGCCTTTCATCCTCTGGTTCACTCCCCAAATGGCCAAAATGCACAGAGCTGGGCTGATAAGAAGCCAGGAGACAAGGGCTTATTCCAGGTCTCCCATGCAGTTGTAGGGGCCCAAGGACTTGGGACATCATCTGCTTTCCCAGGCCATAGCAGAGAACTGGATCAGAAGTGGAGCAGCTGGGACTTGAACTGACGCCCATATGGGATGCTGACACTGCAGGTGGCAGCTTTACCTGCTATGCCACATTACCGGCCCCAGTAGCTTTTCTTTAAGAGAAAGGGATGTGTGTGAGCAAGTGACTTCCTGGTAAGCATTTAATATTAATAAAATAAGGTAGAGTTTTATTTTAAAAACAGAGCTTAAGGTGTCATATATACAGGTAAGTCAAATAAGTGTACAAATGCTAATTTTTCACACATCTCACAAGGTCACACAAAAGCTAAGCAATGAGTGTTTGCTAGGAGTTTTGATCCTTGATATCTCCACTCTCAGAATAATATTAGATAAATAATAAGAATTAAATCAATATCTGCAAATTATTTGTTTTCCAACAACCTGAGCATGGCATTTATCATTAGAATCCTGGTAGAAATCCAATGCAAATAGGATTTTTTCATAAATTTTGTATTGTTTAGTTTATCATTTTATGGCCATTTAAGCTGAGGATTATTGCTCATCCCTGTTACTCCAAGAAAAAAATTATTTTCTATAGGAGATTATAATGAAATTTAAGCGTGAGGAAGCAATATTACATTTGTACTTGTGTTTTCACTGTGTGATCATGGAGATGTAAAGATTAATTCAAATCTCTCAGGGAATTCATAGATCCCTTCCTTGCTGCATCATTCCTCACAGGAGTCATGTGGTTACTGCCAATCATCTGCAAACAAGTGCCTAAGATTGTGCTCTACACTGTCACTCAATATTGAGTCAAATTCAACAATAGCATCCTGTTTTTATGTAGGTAATGATACGACACAAATCTATCCAGTCATTCACATAGATCACCATATAAATATAGATAATGGTAAACCAAACAACAAAAAATAAGATGTGAGGTTGAAAATCAGTCTTCACACTTAGATGAGAAGACATTTTGTTAGATATTTGTTGTGGAGTTGACTGTCGTGGCAGAAGTGCAAAGTGTGTTTAGACAGCAAAGAAGTGAATGGCCAAGAGAGTAATTGGTGAATGATGAATTATTCTCTTAATGAAACTTTGCAACTCAAGATTAGACTTAATTAGACTTAAATGCAATTTTAGAAATTTGGCATGTGCATCAGTCAGAGTTCATTGTTTCTGAAAAAAAAAAACACAAGGAATAACTGAATAATATAAGACAAGAGAAGTAGAATTTGTTTGAAAGATATGGAGTAAGATCAATGATTCAGACTAAAACCGAATCTTTAGTTTAAAAGAGGACAGATATTTATTTTGAAGTTTTAGCCTCCATTAAAAATATTAACAATATGTAGACAATGCTGTGGCACAGTGAGTTAAGTCATTGTCTGTGACACTGGCATCCCATATAAGCAACGATTTGAGTCCTGGCTGCTCCACTTCTGGTCCAGCTCCCTAATAATAGCCCCTGGAAAGCAGTGGAGGATGGCCCAAGTGCTTAGGCCCCTGCTACCCATGTGGGAGACTCCAATGGAGTCCTGGCTCTTAGCTTTGGCCTAGCCCAGCCTCAGCTGTTGTAGCCATTTGAGAAGTGAACCAGCAGATTCTCTCTCTCTCTCTCTCTCTCTGTCATTCTGCCTTTCAGATAAAAAAAAATCATTTTTAAAAAGCATGTATTTGCATATATGTATATTTGTTAAATTTTTCTCTTAGGATTATAAGATAAAATATTTAAATATTCATATAAAAACAAAAACTCAATGCCACTGTCTCTAAACATTTTGCTGACTTATAAAATTGTATCAAGCAAGTTAACAAAAATCTGCGTTTAAATATTTGTCTTAAACCATGAACTTTAACTCAGTTTCCTCTGTCTTAGGGATATGGCAGAAAATCTGACATCTGTTACAGAGTTCATCCTACTGGGATTTCCCCTTGGCCCAAGGACTCAGATGTTCCTCTTTGGCCTCTTCTCTCTATTCTATGTTCTCACCCTGCTGGGCAATGGTGTCATCCTGGGACTCATCTGGTTGGATCCCAGACTGCACACCCCCATGTACTTCTTCCTCTCAAATCTGGCCATTGTTGACATTGCTTATGCCTGCAACACGGTGCCCCAGATGCTGGTAAACCTCCTGAATCCTTCCAAGCCCATCTCCTTTGCTGGGTGTATAACACAGACCTTCCTCTTTTTGACATTTGCTGTCACAGAATGTCTTCTCCTGGTGGTGATGTCCTATGATCGCTATGTGGCCATCTGCCACCCCCTCCGATATTCTGCCATCATGAGTTGGAGAATGTGTGTCACCCTGGTCATCACTTCCTGGGCCATAGGAGTCCTTCTGTCCCTGATTCATCTAGTGTTACTCCTACCATTGCCTTTCTGTAGGTCTCAGAAAATCAATCACTTTTTCTGTGAAATCATGGCTGTGCTCAAACTTGCCTGTGCAGATACCCACATCAATGAGAACATGGTCCTAGCTGGAGCAACGTCTGTGCTGGTGGGGCCCTTCTCCTCAATTGTAGTTTCCTATGTGTGCATTCTCTGTGCAATCCTTCAGATCAAGTCTGGGGAAGGTCAAAGGAAAGCCTTCTCCACTTGCTCCTCCCACCTGTGTGTCGTTGGACTCTTTTATGGCACAGCCATTATCACATATGTTGGACCCAGATATGGGAGCCCCAAAGAGCAAAAGAAATACCTCCTGCTATTTCACAGCCTCTTCAATCCCATGCTTAATCCCCTTATTTATAGTCTTAGAAACTCAGACGTAAAGAATACATTAAAGAGAGTGCTAGGAATGGAGACCGATATATGAAAAGATTATGACATTGTGGTTCAAAGTGACCTATCATGTTGTTATTTCAAGTGGTTCCTTATCTTATTCAGCATGAGAATTAGCTGAAACACTTAGAATAGCGATGTCCACCACCCTACCCTTAGATGACTGATTCAGTAAATATAAGATGATTTCTAGAAATCTGTATTTTCAAATATTATCATTAACAAATTGTAGTATGTTAGTGCATATGAGACCCAGGACCTGGAAGACAGAAATCCAGAACAACACTCTTTATAATATCTCCTAAATATTCCTCAAAATACTAGTCCCTCAAGACTATTTTTAAACTACTTTTGTTTTAATAGACATAGTGTAATTTTGGATATTTGTGGGGTACCATAAGACACTTCTATATATATATATATATACACACACACACACACACAATGTGTAATGATCATCTCAGGGTTCTTGGCCTAACACCCCAGGCATTTATCATCTTGTTGTGTTGGGAACATTCAAAAAGCTTCTCCACTAGATATTTTGAGATTCAGTTAATTACTGTCAGTCATTCCAGAGAAGTTTAAAATGAATTCTGTGGTCAATAAGTTTGAGATTACTGCATAGTAGATGCCTCATTTTAGGGCTGACTAATGAAAACTGTAAAAATTCCTTTGGTAACGAAGAATTCTATTCTGGTTTTAGGCCAGTATGTTCCAAATTTATTTGATCACATATAAAAACACTGTTCATAATACTGATTAACAGTTTCCTGGAATAGGAGATCCTGATCTTGATTGACTCATTGTGAATACTTCCTGTAACCACTTTCCAGGCTAGAATGCCATTTCCCCTGCAAGTCAAGCATCTGAAAAGGATGCAGATCTGAGCACAGTGCCCCAGGTTGGACTCATAATCTCTGTTCTGTTGGACACAGAAAATTTCTGTTGCTGGTCATCAAGATGACTGTTGCTAGTCATCAGTGGAGAATTACCTAGAGATAATGTATCCAACTCTCTCCTTCACCATTAATCAGCACTCTCAATGAAGTCTCAAGGATAACCTCATGCAATTTCAAAATCTTCCAAATTTGATATTTAAAAAAAGTCTATATACATTTTTCTCTGTCCAGTATATTAAGTTAATCTTATTTTTCAGTCTCAGAATTTTAAAGGTAAAACCAACTTCTTACAGAACTCTGGAAAAATTCCCAAACCTACTACCTACAAGGTTAAAAGATGTGTCAGTTTGATATACTAGAGGAAACCTAGTCTTGTGGTAATACATTTTCTTAGACTAAATTTTATATCATAAACACTTATTTTTAGGTCCCTATTATCATAGTTCACATTTGTTTATTTTTATACCTTGAAATTATTTTTATAACTGACAGCTATGTAGTATTGAATATAAAAACTATGTTCTAAAATGTTCATGAACGCTATTTTAGTTTGCTAACAAATTTTTTCTTTTATGTAACTTCCCTGATTTCCATACTTTCCACAGGTCACCTAGAACAAAGAAAAAAAGTCCCAATATTTATTAAAAGTTCTGATGTTTATGAATCAAGATTTTGATTTGGATGGGGGCCGTTTCTGGTATCTCTGTGTTTCTTCTAGCACTAGGTGCAAACAGTTGGATAATAGGCCAGCACATAAAAACACAAATTTTCCCCAATTTTATGGCATTATCCCAGCATGTCAGGGATCACATTATAAGGAACTAATTAATTTATAAATTGCATAACTAATTGATGTGAGATTAGCAAAATAACATGCTAACCCCTTGATGTGCCATAAAAAAAAAAACACACACAGTGAAACATAAGTAAATAGGACAATATCTAAAGTGAAAATTTTCCCAATCTAGAAGGGGCAGGAAACTTCCAGAAGAACCTGTCTTGGGAAAGGATCTTTCCTCCCTCTCCATGAGGAGCCACACTCAGAATATCTGCTTTCAAAAGACAGATTAAAGCATACGCCCTTCAACAGAAATCCTACAATGGTGGTAGAGGCCCTAGAAAGTCCTCTCTTCAGAGAGATGCTAATAAGTCCCACTGGGACCACTTGGCCCCTGCTTGGGTTCCCCAGTCTGCTCCATGCCTCCTTAACCAACTTGCCACATCTCACACCTTGGAACATTACTTGAAATCAATTGGTTTTTCAGGTCCTTTCTTCCCTCTTCTGCTGTAGCACAAGGGACCCAGATTACCTCAGGGAGATGCTGAACTAACACAGGTGAATACTCAGAGCTTGTTGATGGTCACACTAGCCCTGATTCCTGACAGGTTTACCTGAACCATCTGGAGATTGAAGAAAATAGGATTCACAAAATTCAAATAATGCTAAGTATTTGAGGACTGTAATGAGAGATGTTGTTTCAGGGTGTGCCCTGTGGCTATCTGTGTTTCCTGATTGTGTATCCTGCTGGGAATGAGAACAGAAACAGCAAAACAGTCTTCGTCCCAGCAGACGTAGTCACACACGAGGTTTCATGGCCCAGCTTGCCAGTGAGCCCTCAAGACCTGCCAACTAGGTTGATCCTACCAGTGAATAAAACCTCCTTTTCTGAGAATTCTTGACTTTAGTTAGGAATAGAAGTGAGGGTTCTGTGGCTGTCACAGAAGCTCGGAGAAAACAAGATCCTGGTTCCAACATTCAGGTGCTTCCCTCTCTCAGATTGGTGAGTCCAAATGTGGAAAGTAACCTGTTTGCCTTGTTTAGACATGCTATAGCACCAAGTCTTTGGTGAACTATCACTCCATTACTGCCACTCTTCAATTATATATCAAGAAGAAATGTAAATAACTTCTATTGATACTAAGCACAAATACTCAACATTCATATTCTATATTGTATAAGTTCCTGAGGAAAGATACACTTTTGATGGAAAATTTATATCAAATATTGAGGATTTCACTAGCATTTTTCATTTATGAGAAAGCATCTATATGATAAATATTTACTTGGGAAAGGTTATAGTAAAAGAATAAGTAAGAAATTCCTGTGTAAAAAAGAGGTGAAATATATAAAATAATTTTCCTAGCCAAATGAAATTATAAGAGAATATATTTACATTTTGGGAAATTTTACATATGTTTATTTTATAAATTGTGCATTTAATTCTTGTCAGCATAGCCACAATACATAAAAAGTCTAAATTTATTGCAGTGGAATATGAAGTCAAATGAACACTAAATCTATGTCTTATTTTTCATTAAGAATAGCATTAAAGGTAGTATCGGGTAACTAGAATGTACTGAAGATATGTATAAATGTTATATTTTCTGCAGCCTGGAGGTTTAATCTTTGAGGTCAGGATTGAAAAGATACTATGGCCGGCGCCGCGGCTCACTAGGCTAATCCTCCACCTAGCGGCGCCGGCACACCGGGTTCTAGTCCCGGTTGGGGCGCTGGATTCTGTCCCGGTTGCCCCTCTTCCAGGCCAGCTCTCTGCTGTCGCCAGGGAGTGCAGTGGAGGATGGCCCAGGTGCTTGGGCCCTGCACCCCAAGGGAGACCAGGAAAAAGCACCTGGCTCCTGGCTCCTGCCATCGGCTCAGTGCGGTGTGCCGGCCGCAGCGTGCTGGCCGCGGCGGCCATTGGAGGGTGAACCAATGGCAAAGGAAGACCTTTCTCTCTGTCTCTCTCTCTCACTGTCCACTCTCCCTGTCAAAAAGAAAGGAAGGAAGGAAGGAAGGAAGGAAGGAAGGAAGGAAGGAAGGAAGGAAGGAAGGAAGGAAGGGAAAAGAAAAGATACTATGGAAAACGGGCCAATGGCAAAGGAAGACCTTTCTCTCTGTCTCTCTCTCTCTCACTGTCCACTCTGCCTGTCAAAAAGGAAGGAAGGAAGGAAGGAAGGAAGGAAGGAAGGAAGGAAGGAAGGAAGGAAGGAAGGGAAAAGAAAAGATACTATGGAAAACGGGCCAAGGTGCTCAAAGTGAGAGAAGGATTGAGATAGTCAATGATGCTTTAAAGTTTTTTTTTAGAGGATTTTTGCATTGAATGTCTTTTACTATTTTGTTCATCTCTGCTGTTCCTCCTAAGCCCATTTACCCAACAAAAGCTTCCCAAGTTCAGAACCATCAACCTGCTACACTCTGTGCTCCTGCAGTACCCAATGCATAAGAAGCATTCAACAGCTATGTTCAGTTATTATGAACTTCAACAAATTATTGAATAAACTATAGTTACATGAAAATGACTCTCAGTTCTTCATGATCCACAGTAGTATCTATATCCACTTATTTAAACCCTTTTTTCACAAGACAACTTTGTAAAGACTTGTCTTTTAACTATGTAAGCAGTAAGATGAATTAGTTTTCAGTTCTCCCATGTATCTTACAAATAAACAGCCCAGCAGTTCAGATGTGCTATAAATTAATGGTTGGTCATTTTATTGATTCTGCTTTACTTATGCCCACTACTTCACAAACAAACCTGCCAATTCATCAGACTGAGATTTATTTTTTTAATATGGGGTCCATCAATTTCTGGTGCTTAGATATTTACCTTAGAAATTGGTAAATATTAGATATTTACCTTAGAAATTGAGTCAGCTGATCATTAACCAGATAATTTTCATTTTTAATTATTTTATTTGGATTTTTAATTTTTATTTATTTATTTGAGAGGTAGGAGATTGCATTCCCATCTACTGGTTCATTCCCTCAAACACCCACAACAGCTGGGGCTGAGCCAGTATGACACTGCCAGTTGGGGACATTCTAGATCTTGCACGTGGGTGACAGGAACCCAACCACTTGGGCCATCACTGCTGCTTCCCAGGGTCTGCATCAGCAGGAAACTGGAATCAGGAGCTGGAGTCAGGATTCAAATCCAGGTACTCCAGTGTACTACATAGGCATCTTAGGCCGAACACCTGCCCTTGCCTTTTTTTATGTTCTGAAATTGTACATGCATAAATGTACATACATCAGTGCCTAAAAGTTATAATTGGAACTAGAATATATTTCAGTGTGGAGCTACTTCCTTCACTCCCGTTAGTTCCATGGAAATTCAATCTCTAGCATTCACTTCATTGTTCTTAACTAATATTAGCTATGCCACATACATATAAAATAGAAAAGAAGTATATAAAACAGAAGTCCATCAAAAGTCAAGTGTTTAAACACTTTGTGAATACTTCACTTGTTCTTATCAATTTTTCAAAATTCTATTTTAATACAGATCCCCAGGTATGAAAACCTCCAGAATTATAGTATTTCATTTCCTTAGGGAAGAATGGACTGAACCTGGCATAATTATAGCAGACTGTGTTTTAACTAGATTTACTACAAGAACATCAATACCTAGCTGTTCGTTCACTTGCTTATATTTATTCATTTATTTGTCATTCCACAAATGTTTAACATCCAGGTATTTAAAGATAAATAATACCATGCCATTGCTTTAAAATAAATCAAGATTGAGACAAACGGGGCTACTGTGCTGAAGAAATATCAATGTGTTCTGACTCTTTCATCTGTCTTTCACATTGGATATGAAAAAATCATGGCTTGCACTGTATGCTTTTTCCATCTGTGTTTTCATCTTCAGGGAAATGAAGAAAAATTGGGAAAAGAAATTACTATTTTGTAAGTAGGTAGATGTGAACATATCCTTCACAGCCAAATATTTCTCTATGCCTTGTTTTTAAAAAATAAATTCACGAAGTTTGTCAATCTTTTCAACATTTTCGTATTACTCTAAACTCACATGAGCCCTGGCATTTTAAGGATTTTTTTTACTTCTTCTCTGTTTTTTTTTTAAGAAAAGGATTGATTTATTTATTTGTAAGACAGATTAAGCAAGAGATAGGAAGAGATACAGATAGAGTAAGAGATATTCACTGCCCAGTTGCTGCAACAGCCAAAGCTAGCCCATGTCAAAGCTAAGAGCCAAAACTCCATCCTAGTTCCTCACATTGGTGGCAGGGACCCAAGCACTTGGGTCATATGCTGCTGCTTTCCCAGGCACATTAGCAAGAAGTTGGTTTGGAAGTGGAACAATCAGGACTCAAACCACTGCTCTGATATGGGATAGTTGTATCACATGCTGTGGCTCAACCTGCTCCACCACAACACCTGCCCCTCATATGAGGATTTTTTCAAAGATATTTTTTCAACTATTTCTGTGTCAAATTCATTTGAACATTTATTTATATTAGATAATTTATTGATTTATTTATTATTAACATAATAGGCATCTCAGTGTTAAGAAGGGATCTAATTCTTTCCCTGCCTTGCTTAAATGAGTTTATAATGATCTAGGTTTGGAAATTTGCTTCAGGAACTGCATCATGCTATTCAAAAACACAATAGGACAGTGCAATTCAAAATGTAACTGCAAAGTCAGAAAAAAAAAAAAAAAAAAAACTTTGCAAGTTGACACAGTCCTTCTTCATAGAAATATCCACTTTAAAAAATAGCTTAGTACCAATGGTTGACAAATGTGAAATCAGAGCTTGCTTGCTAGGGTTGTTGGTTCCTGGTCACCAATCCAAACTGTAGACATTGAATCATCAACTGCTCAGATCCTTGTGTTGATTGGCTCCCTTGTTCCCTACCCCTTGAAGGTCATCAATGATGCACTGCCAAATACTATCCTTTTGACCTGATGTCTACACTTCATTTTGATCACCTCCCTTCCTTTTCATGCAGTCTTTTTCCAGGAAAGTACTCTATACTGTTGAGTACATTTAGGTTCACTGAATGAGTCACCCCTGGAAATTGCATCAAAACACCTGCAGTGGATTTTCAGAGGCCCCCAAACTCTCTAGTTGTATGTTTCCTGAAGTTTTCTTGTTTTCTGCCTTTGGGCTGTTACTCTCATTGCTTACATATGGGTTTCCAGGTTAGTTATCAGAATTCAACTCTGTCTTTTACACTCAATTTCCTTGGAGAGCATTCCTTGACATCTGCAATGGTATTGATGATAGTTAAAGTAGGAACTGGCCAAAAACAGTAAAGTTCCTTGTACTACAATGTTTCTCACACAGAAAGTAACCAACTCCTAAGTTATTTTGCTCTTGCAATGTCACTGAGAAATGTTTGTTAGTTAGAAGTTAATCCGGTTTATTGAGAAAACTATGACCCAAAGTAAAAATGCAATCAATTCAGCATTCTGCCAATTCCTAGACTAAGTATGTTTCCATTATTTTTGTTGTTGCTGTCATTTGTCAGGCAACAAATAAACTAAGTTATCCATTTGTCAATGATTTGTTTCATTGAGTTTTTTTTTTTTTTTTGACAGGCAGAGTGGACAGGGAGAGAGAGAGAGAGAGAGAGAGAGAGAGAGAAAGGTCTTCCTTTTTTCCGTTGGTTCACCCCCGAGTGGCCGCTGTGGCCGGCGCACCACACTGATCTGAAGCCAGGAGCCAGTTGCTTCTCCTGGTCTCCCATGCGGTTGCGGGGCCCAAGGACTTGGGCCATCCTCCACTGCACTCCTGGGCCAAGCAAAGAGCTGGACTGGAAGAGGAGCAACCGGGACAGAATCCGGCACCGTGACCGGGACTAGAACCTGGTGTGCCGGCACCGCAGGTGGAGGATTAGCCTATTGAGCTGCGGCGCCAGCCTCATTTAGCTTCTTATAGAGTAATGACAGTTCTTGTTTCTGAGGTCAGGTGCTGTTTCTCAGTTTAAATGAAAATTAATTATGTTTTAGACTTTAGGTATAGTACATGTTCAGATATGAAGAAGTTAATTAACAGCATGATGGGTCTATTTCCTCCTATTTTCATTCTAAGGAATGACCTGTTTTAGTCTCTTGATTCATGGATTTCCTGTCTTGAGAAAATCTGGCAAGGGATGTCTGTACAAACAATGCGTGGGGAATTATACCTGCAGTTCTTTGTTCACACAGACATTCATAGATACCTATCATACCTACACTCCAAATCTTTGAGCACATGTGGAAATGCACAGATTTATCCTAGTGCATACAGAGGCCATATTTGCAATACTGGACTTCTTGATGAACCATAAAATTCCCTAATCTTTATGGCTAGCATGAGAAAAATTCCTGTGCTGACTTAATAATTCTGTGAATCAATCATTTAACCATTTACCAAATTGCCAAACATAGGTTTGTTTCCATTTTTCAGTAATATACATTTTGGATATATTCTAGTATATTCATATATATGGCATAAGTGTATGTGTATATACAAATATATACAGATACCTGAGGAATCTTCCAAGTTCATGGAAGCTGTATATAATGGAAAACATATGTATGGATTTCAGTTTTTATGCTGCAATCAACATTTTAATTCTGTTGTTCCATGAATTTTGAAGGCTCTCATATATAATATATATATATAATTATCATATATACCATATCCGCGGCTTGCTTCTTACTACCTACCTAAAAACATTCCACATTGTATCTAGACCTCACAACATACCCCATAAATGTATACAATTATGATTTATCAGTTGAAAATATTGGCATTTTAAAGAGTACTGGTTTCATAATTGGCTTCTTGTGAAATCATGTAAGGTACTCTCTAGACTCTAGACAGAATTTAAAAACTGGTAGGAAAATAATCATGATAAAGTAAAATCATTTTCTTTTCCAGAACTATTATCAATTGTAGATCTCTTCCATTAATAGCTATTTCTAATATCCACTAATTTTCTTACAGATTTGCATACATGAAGCTTCCAAGACACTCTGTGATCCATGATTATTTTATTTGCATGGATGTGATATTTCTTAATTCCATCAGAATGTCAATGACTCTAGGTAGCTAATGAGCAGTGACATATTCCTCTTCTAAATATTGAATATCGTATTAAGAATTTAACTTGTGGACAGACACTCAAATGTTTACAGGTAATCATTTAATTATAATTGAGTGAATTCTGAAAGGTCTTTACTAATAATATTCCATATACTACCAATCTATGTAACAACAACAACAAAATATCTTAAAATAATTGTATCACAGCTATGTGATTTTTTCTTTAATAGTGAAATGAAGGAAAATCAGACAGTGGTCACAGAATTCATCCTATTGGGATTTTGCCTTGGTCCAAGGATTCTCGTGATACTTTTTGGACTTTTCTCTCTCTTCTACACCTTCACCTTGCTAGGGAATGGGGTCATCTTGGGGCTCATCTCACTGGACTCCAGACTGCACACCCCCATGTACTTCTTCCTCTCAAATCTGGCCATTGTCGATATTGCCTATGCCTGCAACACAGTGCCCCAGATGCTGGTGAACCTCCTGAAACCACTCAAGCCCATCTCCTTTGCGGGCTGCCTAACACAAACCTTTCTCTTCTTGACTTTTGCTCACATTGAATGTCTTCTCCTGGTGGTGATGTCCTATGATCGCTATGTGGCCATCTGCCACCCACTCCGATATTCTGCCATCATGAGCTGGAGAATCTGCATCACCCTGACTTTGACTTCCTGGGCCTGCAGCTCACTCCTGGCCCTGGTCCATGTGGTTCTCATCCTGAGGCTGCCCTTCTGCGGGCCTCATGAAATCAACCACTTCTTCTGTGAAATCCTGTCTGTCCTCAAGCTGGCCTGTGCTGACACAACGCTCAACCAAGTGGTCATCTTTGCAGCCTGTGTGTTCATCTTGGTGGGGCCCCTGTGCCTGGTGCTGGTCTCCTACACCTGCATCCTGGTTGCTATCCTGAGGATCCAGTCCAGGGAGGGCCGCACAAAGGCCTTCTCCACGTGCTCCTCCCACCTCTGTGTGGTGGGGCTCTTCTTTGGCAGTGCCATTGTCATGTACATGGCCCCCAGATCCAGCCACCCTGAGGAGCAGCAGAAGATCCTTTTCCTGTTTTATAGTTTTTTCAACCCTATGCTGAACCCCCTGATCTACAGCCTGAGGAATGCAGAGGTCAAGGGTGCCCTGAAGAGAGTGCTACACAAAGAAAGTAATTCCCGAATGTTAATGACTTTTGAATTGCCAGCCCCAGTCTCCCGGAGTCTTCCTTCCTAATTACTGCTGACATCCAGAGAAAGTCACTATTCTCTTCTGATCTGTACTTTAATGACACAAGAATAAGCCTGCCTCCTTCCTTTGCAAGGAAAAGTTTGGGTGTGTTGCATTCATTGGCTTCCTATGAAATGTAGTTTAATCAGATAAGATTTTACCCCAATATTTCTCATTGAATCTGGGAAATAAAAGTTATTTAAATTCATTTTCAGGGCCCAAAATCTGAATGCAGTCCATCTACTGCCTTAGCCTAGTTATATAAACTTACTAACTGCAACTGTCATAAGATTTTTAAGAAAAAAGATAGCTGCAGTCAAAGGAGGCAATCCACAAAACCCAGAAGCATCTGTCCATTCTCACAAAATTGTCCTTGCCCTGTTAAACGGTAACTCCAAGTTGTTCAGTTAATTGTGTTGCATTCTGTTAAGAAATGTTACATGACAATATTGACTCACAAAGTTAACTCACAGTCTGAGTGGAAAAAAAAAGCATTGCAGGACAGAAGAGAAGGAAAGAAAATCAATAGACTGCATGGGGACAGTAAACATCATCTACCAATTTGTCAGATGGCTAGCTGGTAGCTAGTAAAGGGGAGCAAATGGCATTCTCTCCCATTAACAGGCTGGAAATGAGTACCAAAGATAAATATTTGGGTTATTTATGGATTTTTCAGAAACTTTGATGGTTACACATATGCACAGACTATATGTGTTTTTTTTTTCCAGTGCCTCTCCACCAACACTTTTACCTTCGTTGATGTAGATATATATCACTTCCCTCATTAGGATATCTTACCCTTGAACTGGGAAATTTTCCAAATACACTAAACTCCTAGCTGCCTACTGAGCCATGATGGTGGATAGATCTTTGCTGATTCAATCTGCTTCATAACCAGTGAGTAGAGATAAGTCCCCACACATTTTAGGTGACGTCCCTAAGATTAGAATGGACACCTGCATCCAGAGTCATTTTCTGTTTCAGTCTAAAGATGAACAAAATTTTGTTCAGAATAACTGTGTTCACTTAGGAGCTGACAAGTAACAACCCAGCTCTTAATTGCCATGTGTGGGTGGAGATACCAAGACAGAGCTAGCTGAATTTAAAAACAAAATGATTTTTTATAATAGCTAACTTGATTAATCACCTACTCAACTGCATCTACTATATATTGATAGCACATTACATGTATCATTTGATTCAGTCATCAAACAAAATCCTTTAAGAAAATTCTATTATCAGTCTATTTTTATAACATGTGCATACCAGAAAGTAGCTCACATTAGACTTGTACTTAAACAATGGCTCTCAAGTCCCCTACACTTAGCCCCAACAATGCATAGTAGTACCCGAGTTGTCAGTGTTATTAAATAAAAAACAAGGCTAATTTACCCCAGGATAGGATGTGTTAAGTGAAAGAGTTCTTCTTTACGGCCTAAAAGGTTCTAAGGTGAACTAATCTGTCTTTAATTTTTTATTTTTTATTTTTATTTTTTGGACAGGCAGAGTGGACAGTAAGAGAGAGAGAGAGACAGAGAGAAAGGTCTTCCTTTACCGTTGGTTCACCCTCCAATGGCACTGCGGCCAGTGCACTGTGCTGATCCAAAGCCAGGAGCCAGGTGCTTCTCCTGGTCTCCCATGTGGGTGCAGGGCCCAAGGACTTGGGCCATCCTCCTCTGTGCTCCTGGGCCAGAGCAGAGAGCTGGCCTGGAAGAGGGGCAACCGGGACAGAATCCGGCACCCCAACTGGGACTAGAACCCAGGGTGCCGGCGCCGCAGGCAGAGGATTAGCCTATTGAGCCGCGGTGCCGGCCAGTAATCTGTCTTACAAGGCCCAGAGGACCAGAAATTGTATGAGATGCTTACGCAGATTCACGCAAAAGTAATGGAGTTTAGAGGAACACAGAACATGTAGATAAAAATAAACATTTTCATTGAGATTATAGACTTAGTTCAGCTGAAACCTGAAATCAACACACTGCAGTCTGCAGTCACTCCTTTATCTCTCTTTTTTTGTGCATATGTATTACTGAAACTTACTAACTTTGGGCCAGTCACTAATCATTTCACATGTATTATCTGATTTAATCATCCAAACAATCCTTTGAACCAGAAGATAATCAAAGTCTTACTTTACATATATGTGGAAGCTGAGGCACAGAAAAGTTGATAATGTACCCCAAAGCTAACAAGTACTCAGACCAGGATCAAACTAAGGCATAATTTCTAACTCTGTAGTCATAACCAGCATGTACCATGGCCACTATGGAGCATATCAGCAGAGACAGCATGAGAGTGAAACAAAACAAGTGATTAAGATGCAGTGAGGGGGGCCGGTGCCAAGGCTCACTTGGTTAATCCTCCACCTGCAGCGCCGGCATCCCATATGGGCGCTGGGTTCTAGTCCCGGCTGCTTCTCTTCCAGTCCAGCTCTCTGCAGTGGCCTGGGAAGGCAGTGGAGGATGGCCTAGGTGCTTGGGCCCTGCACCCACATGGGAGACCAGGAGGAAGCACCTGGCTCCTGGCTTTGGATCGGCACAGCCAGAAACCAATGGAAGGAAGACCTTTCTGTCTCTCTCTCTCTCTCTCTCACTGTCTAACTCTATCTGTCAAATAAATTTTTTAAAAAATAAAATACAATAGGGGCCGGCGCTGTGGCACAGCAGGTTAACGCCCTGGACTGAAGCGCCGGCATCCCATATGGGCGCTGGTTCAAGACGTGGCTGCTCAACTTCCAGTCCAGCTCTCTGCTGTGGCCTGGGAAAACAGTGGAAGATGGCCCAAGTCCTTGGGCCCTGCACCCGCGTGGGAGACCTGGAAGAAGCTCCTGGCTCCAGGCTTCGGATCAGCTCAGCTCTGGCCATTGTGGTCATTTGGCGAGTGAACCAGCGGATGGAAGACCTCTCTCTCTACCTCTCCTTCTCTGGCTCTACCTCTCTCTGTAACTCAAATAAATAAAATAATTGTTTAAAAAAAATAAAAAAATTTAAAAAATAAAAAAAAAATAAAATACAATAAAGATGCAGTGAGGGGCACATGGCTCTAAAAAGAAAGGGGCTTACACCTGCTAAAGAAAGCAACTTGAATCTGAACTGATATGTGGAAAGAGTGAGTATGGTAGCAAGAAATGAATGTGGCTCCAATGGTTGGAGGTGCACCTCCAGGAGGACACTAGTGATGAATTGGGAAGTGAAACAGAAAGCAATAGGAGAATCAATAGTCACATTAAACATTAATGGTCTGAATTCTTCAGTTAAAAGACACTGATTGGCTGATTTGCTCAAAGAGCACAACCCAACTATTTGTTGCCTACAAGAAACACATCTCCCAAACAAAGATGCATGCAGACTGAAAGTGAAAGGTTGGAAAAAGATATTCCATGCCAACAGAAACCAAAAAAAAAGCAGGTGTAGCCATGTTAATATCAGACAAAATAAACTTTAACACAAAAACTGTTAGGAGAGACAAAGAGGGACACTATATAATGATTAAGGGTTCAATTCAACAGGAAGATGTAACTATTATAAATGTATATGCACCTAATTACAGGGCACTGGTCTATTTAAAAGATATATTAAGGGACTTAAAGGGAGACTTAGATTCCAATACAATAGTACTGGGGGACTTCAATACTCCACTCTCAGAAATAGACAGATCATCCGGACAGAAGATCAACAAGGAAACAGCAGATTTAATTGACACTATTGCCCAAATGGATCTAACAGATATCTACAGAACTTTCAATCCTACATCTAAAGACTTCACATTCTTCTCAGTAGTGCATGGAACCTTCTCTAGGATTGATCACATACTAGGCCATAAAGCAAGTCTCAGCAAATTTAAAAGAATTAGAATCATACCATGCAGCTTCTCAGACCACAGTGGAATGAAACTGGAAATTAGCAACTCAGGAAACCCCAGAAAGTATGCAAACACATGGAGACTGAACAACATGCTCCTGAATGAACACTGGGTCATTCAAGAAATCAAAAGAGAAATCAAAAACTTTCTGGAAGTAAATGAAGATAACAACACAACATATCAAAACTTATGGGATACAGCAAAAGCAGTATTGAGAGGCAAATTTATAGCAATAGGTGCCTATATCAAGAAATTGGAAAGGCACCAAATAAATGAGCTTTCAGCGCATCTCAAGGACCTAGAAAATCTGCAGCAAACCAAACCCAAATCTAGTAGGAGAAGAGAAATAATTAAAATCAGAGAAGAAATTAACAGGATTGAATCCAAAAAAACACTACAAAAAATCAACCAAGCGAGGAGCTGGTTTTTTGAAAAAATAAACAAAATTGACACCCCATTGGCCCAACTAACTAAAAAAAGAAGAGAAAAGACCCAAATCAATAAAATCAGAGATGGAAATGGAAACATAACAACAGACACCACAGAAATAAAAAGAATCATCAGAAATTACTACAAGGACCTGTATGCCAGCAACAGGAAAATCTATCAGAAATGGATAGATTCCTGGACACATGCAATCTACCAAAATTGAACCATGAAGACATAGAAAACCTAAATAGACCCATAACTGAAACAGAAATTGAAACAGTAATAAAGGCCCTCCCAACAAAGAAAAGCCCAAGACCAGATGGATTCACTGCTGAATTCCACCAGACATTTTTAAGAAGAACTAATCCCATTTCTTCTCAAACTATTCAGAACAATCGAAAAAGATGGAATCCTCCCAAATTCTTTCTATTCTTTCTTATTTCTATTCTTTCTTATTTCTCCCTGATCAGTGACAACTGACTGAACACCAAAAAGGAAACCTCCTGAAGTGAAATGGACACTATGAGAAACGGTGACTTGATCAGCATAGCCCTGACTGTTAATGAACAACTTAATACATTATCCCTCTTAGTATTTTTTTTGTCTGTTCTACTTAAAATGACTGGTCTAATTCTGTAATTATTACACAGTTATTCTTAAGTGTTGAAAATTAACTGAAATGAGGCCGGCGCCGCGGCTCACTAGGCTAATCCTCCGCCTAGCGGCGCCGGCACACCGGGTTCTAGTCCCGGTCGGGGCGCCGGATTCTGTCCCGGTTGCCCCTCTTCCAGGCCAGCCCTCTGCTGTGGCCAGGGAGTGCAGTGGAGGATGGCCCAGGTGCTTGGGCCCTGCACCCCATGGGAGACCAGGAAAAGCACCTGGCTCCTGGCTCCTGCCATCGGATCAGCGCGGTGCGCCGGCCACATCGCGCTGGCCGCGGCGGCCATTGGAGGGTGAACCAACGGCAAAGGAAGACCTTTCTCTCTGTCTCTCTCTCTCTCACTGTCCACTCTGCCTGTCAAAAAAAAATAAAAAAAAAAAATAAATAAATAAAAAAAAAAAAAGAAAATTAACTGAAATGTGATCCCTGTTAAACATAAGAGTGGGAATAAGAGAGGGAAGAGATGTATAATTTGGGACATGCTCAAGCTGCCTTGCCCCAATTGGTAGAGTTAGAAGCATACCAGGGGATTCCAATTCAATCCCATCAAGGTGGCATGTACCAATGCCATCTCACTAGTCCAAGGGATCAATTTCAGTTCACAATTGATCATAATGAAAGGACTAAGAGTCAAAGGGAGCACATAAACAAGTCTAGTACCTGCTAACACTAACCGATAGAATAAATAAAGGGGAGAGTGATCCAACATGGGAAGCGAGATACTCAGCAGACTCATAGAATGGCAGATATCCTAAACAGCACTCTGGCCTCAGAATCAGCCCTAAAGGCATTCGGATCTGGCTGAAAAGCCCATGAGAGTATTTCAGGCATGGAAAGCCAAGACACTCTGGCAAAAGATCTCTGTGAGTGAGATCCCAGTGTAAAGAACAGGTCATCAAAGAAGGAGGTACCTTTCTCTGAAGGGAGGAGAGAACCTCCACTTTGACTATGACCTTGTCTAAACAAGATAAGAGTCGGAGAACTCAAGGGGCTTCCATAGCCTTGGAAACTCATGACTGGAGCATAGGGAGATTACTGATGCCAAAGACAGGAGTGTCAATTTGTAAAGTCAACAACAGGAGTCACTGTGCACTTACTCCTCATGTAGGATCTCTGTCCTTAATGTGCTGTACATTGAGATTTAATGCTATAACGAGTACTCAAACAGTATATTTCACTTTGTGTTTCTATGGGGGTGCAAACTGTTGAAATCTTTACTTAATGTATATTAAACTGATCTTCTGTAAAAAAAAAAAAAAGAAAAAAGAAAGAAATTATCAATTCCCAACTTGACTCTCACTGGGATTAAACATGACAATAGGTCTGATCTGATTTCATCATCATTTAAAAAATCATCTATTATTTTTCACTTTATGTTTCTGTGTGGGAGAAAACTGTTGAAATCTTTACTTAATGTATACTAAGCTGATCTTCTGTATATTAAGATAATCAAAAATGAATCTTGAAGTGAATGGAAGGGGAGAGGGAGTGGGAAAGGGGAGGGTTGCGGGTGGGAGGGACGGTATGGGGGGGGAAGCCATTGTAATCCATAAGTCGTACTTTGGAAATTTATATTCATTAAATAAAAGTTAAAAAAAAGAAAGCAATAGGAGAGATGGTTGATGTTGTTTTGCATTGGTGCTTTGTCAATGGAGTAGCGTTAGAACGGATGTTCTATAGCATTTTATCTAAAAATAGTTCTTTCCCAAAACAGATATTCAGATTTTAATTCTGTTATTCAAAATTATTAGTTTATCAGGTAGTATTTACAGAACAATCCTCAGATAGGTATTTCACATATAATATAGGGAGTTCCATGAAGGCAGGAACTGAAATCTGCTCATTGCTTTATGGGCAACACTATCACATTACAGAAGCTCCAGACATGCAAATTCAGGGGATTTTAACTATTATATGACTATTTAGACACATTTTTCTTTTTTTTTTAAGATTTATTACTTATTTGAAAGTCAGAGTTACACACAGAGAGGAGAAGCAGAGAGAGAGTGTGCTTCCATCCGCTAATTTACTACCCATTTGGCCGCAACAGACGGAGCTGCACTGATCCAAAGCCAGGAGCCAAGAGCTGCTTCTGGGTCTGCCACGCAGGTGCAGGGGCCCAAGGACTTGGGCCGTCTTCTGTTGCTTTCCCAGTTCATAGCACAGAGCTGGATCAGAAATAGAGCAGCCAGGACTCAAACCAGTGCCCATATGGAATGCCGGTACTGCAGGCAGTGGCTTTACCCACTACACTACAGTGCCGGCCCCAACACATTTTTCAGTATTAAACTATTATTTGATTTCTACAAGTTTAAAATCATTTTATTTGTGGAACATAAAACAGTAGAAAATATTTTGTAGCTAAAAATTAGTACTTGCTACTTACCAGAAAATATGCTAAAGTATTTT